ATAAATATGCGCGCATGATTTCCCTTACAACGAAGTACATAAATTTTCCCTTTCTGAAATTGGAGCTGGCTTATGTTCGATCCGATACTGCACGTGGCAGCGGTCCAAAAGTCCAGTTAATCATTGATGAAAGCAAAACTAAATTAGTCTATATTTTGTGCACAATTAGACAAATAGTGACGATGGCTGGTGCTTTTAATAATGGAGGATGGAGAAGGGAAAAAAGAGGAAAGTGTTACAGCGCCGTCGTTTCACCATAAGCCGTTGGTTTAAAAAAACGCAAAAATCGCGCCTCGAGGCATTTTCTTCAGCTTGAGCAAAAAGACGCGGCCTCCACATCTCCTAATCCCTCTATTTCCTCTTTCAATTTGTCAACTAATGTTTAAGGCAACATTATGCAGTGTGGAAACGTATTCTCCTCTTTTTAAAAATCAAATAATCTCGACAGCGACTAATTTAACTTTTGAGTCTGTTCTATGGGTATTCTGTTTAGGGTAGTCTACCACTTCTCTAGGTTGGTGGTCCATGCAGCAGGGTCAACGATTTGAACTAACTCTGAAAAAGTAATTCCACTGGGTGTGGTGCAAACTTTGCCTAGTTACATCGGGAAGTTTTCCGCTAGTGTGACTACCCTATTCATGATTTTCGTTTGATTATGTTTCAATCAAACTCGAGTCTGTGGACATTTACGATGACAAATTTGTCTTCAAGAGCAATACAAACTTGAGCCTTTACCGGTGAAGCTACAAGTCCATGGATGTTGCTTTCAAATTTCATAGATCCGAGTTGAGCGCGTGAGAAAGCATCCCAGATCCTTAACGTTCCCGATTCACTGACCGTTGCAACTGCATCGCCAAAGTCTTGCTCTAGATAGCCACACCCTTTGAGTAGATTATCACCGCAACCCAGGCGTTTCTTCAGATCAAGATGCTGACCATCCCAAAGTTGTAATGATCCGTCAATGTGTCCTGTGGCAATACAGCGTCCATCAAACGAAAACTTACAGCATTTGACAATTTCTTCTTCAGGAACGCTTCGCTGAATGTGATGCACTTTCACTGTATCGTACAACATTAGACCTCTTTGACGATCACAGCATAGGAGACGATAATGAGAGACGCCGTCTTTTTGCTCGAAAACAAAGATGTCGCAGCACTCGATCATAGACTGCTTGGGGCCATTGATGTCCCTAAACGTCAATTCATCGAGATTCCAAATCTGGATGTGTCCCGATCTGGAAACAAACAAAACCAGATCATTGTCGAGGTAACTGAAGAACCTTTGGGGAGTGATCGGATGTTCTAGAGATTTAACTCTTTGTTGCAGGTCGGAATTCCACAATTCAAAACAAGCTTCTCTTTGAAACAAAATCGATTTGTCATTCGGTGACAGTGCAAAAGATTTTGCGTGGATGGACCGGTTACCACGAAGCCATCTCCCACTGGAAGCTTCATATACACTCATTCCCACTTTGCACAAAACGTATAAATGCTGACCGTTAGCCGAAAAGGAAATAGCTCTCACTCCACAATCTGCCATTTCTGCAGAACTTTTGTTTTCGAGAGTGCGACACATATAGACCGTGTCAAAGTCCTTCAGAAGCACTCTTTCCGTGTCAACCTCTTTGGCATATGTCCACCTGGTTCGCTTCGAAATTGGAGCAATACGTATTGCGAATGGCAAACCCGGGCAATGTAATTGGCGAGATTCACCACATACGTACAAACAGTCTCCACGGTTTGATACACCAAGACTTCTATGAGTCGACCCTAGGTTTATCTCTCTAAGTTCAGAACACTCAAATTCATTCGTAAGCAATTCACAGAATGTCAACAGTTGTTTCTTGGAGGAATTCAGAAGCACAAACTGTGAATTTCCTTCTGATCCAGAAAGGCAATCCACTGTTAAAGGTTCTTCGTTACTAAATGCATTCTGCTGATAAGTGTAGTCGCGCACATTCATGTTCCAAAGGGAAACACCTCTATCAAAACTGCCTGAGATGACATATTGCTCACATGATGAAATCGCACAACATGTGACGCCCCCAGTGGGCGGTTCCAATTTGATTACCAGCTCTCCTTTGTCAAGTTCCCAAATCATAAGGTTGTTTGTCACATGAGTTTCCCTAGTCACCATCGTTTTTCTGTCTTGTGAGATACAAGCATCGATAAAGGTGTGCTCGTTTTCTGGAAATAGCTCCTTTGATCCACCGTCAAATGTTACAGCTTTATCGAATCGACCGTGGACAACCACACCATGTTGTGGGACAAAAAAACAGTAGTTACAACGCTCTTCCTCGGTTGGCCAGATGTCGATCACTACGTCAGATCTGTTCCTCCATAGTTCTCTTCCTGTTTCCACTGAAAACATGTGGACGAAACCTTCTGCACATCCACAGACCAACAGAGTGTGCTCAGCCTGGTTTAAAATATCACAACAATTTACGCTGGTTTTGCAGCGGAACTTAGTGATCACAGGGTCTGTTGTCTGGGATCTGTTAACTACCTCTAGGCGGAGGGGAAGTTGGTACTTTGTTTGATACATCACAGAACAAGCTTCGAGACTTGTTGCTGTAGATTCGGCTTCGTTCACTAATAACTGAAAAATCATGTTTGGGTTCTCCATCAACAAGTAGGGATGACGCCTGAGGCAAGTTATACAATCATCGACTTCTTTCGAGTCATCACCTGAAAGCTTCAAGACTGGTTTGATGCTTTGAAGTTCCTCAATTAATGAGAAAACGTCGCAAGCTTTGCTCTGCAATTGAGCAAATAGCAGCTCCAGGCTACATGCATGACGAAAAAGTCTGTTTTTCTGGCTTTCATCTAGTTTTGGTAAGGCTGTGAAATGGTGCGTTCCATGCTGAAGGGCGTATCTTTCTTCTTGAGAGTACTCCACAGGGACATCTTGACGTTGCTTGATGGAATTGTAGGTCCTTTCGCATTCTTTCAATAACACGACATTTCCTCGTGTGATTTTTACCGTAAATTTATGTTGACCGTACAATTCAGGGTGACAGAGCCAGTCAACAATTGATTTATGGAAAACATCGATGCAACCGTCATGAATGGGCAGCAAACGTGAGATTGATGCTGACATCTTTTGGAATTGGCTCCAACCATCCTCAATGTCATAGCACAGGCCGAGAATTCTCGACGCCATGGTCGCAGGTAAAGGAGAACGTGCAGCAGCAAGTGACGAAAGAAAATCGAAGAAACGCTCTTTGCCAACTCCAAGATCCTTTTGCAGGCGATCAATATATTGCTCATAGACAGATGTGATCCCACGAGGGAAAACATCTGAGAGATTTGAAGGTGTGAGGGTGCTTTTATGGTCTTCGACATGCTTAATGACAAAGTGTGCATACAACATAAGTCCTTCTGCTTGACTTACAAAGCGACTAACATTTTGCTCGATGCTGGTATTGGGCAACAGCCGCCTTAAGCTTTCTTCAAAAAATAGCTCGATGTCTTTCTCGTTCTTCTCGTCCGAGGGGTGGAGGACAAACGGGTTGAAGTGAGCTAGTTTGTCAATCATTGCTTGCTCAGTGCGACCGGTGATAACAAACTTTATCCAGGATGGTAGCTTGTGGAACTGTGTTCTTATCATATCAAAGAATTCGTTTCTTCCCTGATGTTCACATTCATCTACAGCGTCCACCACCAAGAGGATGTTCATCCCTGGATCTGCCATCATGTTCGTAGTCTCTTGAAGAACGTGCGTAAACAGTTCCTCCACATTCATGGTCGTCAGATCAGTTGTGTTTAAGCAAGCCAACTGACCCGTCAGGACTTCCTTAAAACCTGGAAGATTGTCACACAAATGTCTGGCCAGTGACTGCACCATTAGCTCTGGTTTCCTTCTCCTCTGGTTATTGTGCTGACAGAAGTGCATTCCACCAAGCGCCGAGCGCTCTTTCATGTTATGGCATAACTGTGCTGCAATAACAGATTTGCCCATACCAGCATTTCCAGTTATGATAAAAACACGTGAATCAGACATGCGATTTTGAAACCAACTCTCGACATGACTGAAAACCCATTTACGAGTTCCTGGATGATGCTTGGATGCGTAAAAATGGACTTCCCCGGAGAAATCAAACTTAGCAAGTCTTTCTATGCAAATGTTAGCAGACAGTGGCGCGGCTCTAAGATTCTCTACTCGCGAAGCGTCTTCACCGAGACGTTGAACTGCGTCAGCAATCTCCTTCCAAGATGATTGAAATGAAGCTTCGTCGATCTCGACAATCGTTGCGTGACTGTAATGGTTTCGATACCAATGTATCATTTTCACTGCAGCCTGGGTCGTGTTATCCGTTGAAGGAGGTTTTGCGGCCCAGCCAGTAGCAGGAGCTGGCATTCCACAAACGTTACGAAGCAAAACGTAAAGAAGAGAAATGTCGAAGTGTTTAGAAGCAGGGGTACCAACCGCCGGCGCCGGGTAAAGTTTGTCCCACTGGGACTTGTTTATCTTGCCCTCTCGATTCAGTTTACGTATGTCAGGTTTCTTCCGGTTCAAGAACTTCAGGAGCTGAGGGGGAGGTACATAGCGATCAAATATGCGTCGTAACGCCGCAGTACCTCTGTTAATAAGAAGGGTGTTCAGCTTCATACCCAGTAGCGTGTCATCAGTTATTTCCAAGCAATATGCCATTGTGAGATAGAAAGAACTACGAACTTCCTGAAAAACAAACGATTTCAAAAAATGTATATGTGGATTTAGCGCTTGATGAGAGCGATTTCCATCGCTCCGTTTATTGTTACCTTATAGAAACGGTTAATTAGCTATACATCCCGTAAATCCTTAGGCAAGAGAATAGTAATAATAACAATAATAATAGTAACAATTACAATAATAATAATTTTTCATTATTACCATTATTGTTATTAAGGCGTATTTATACCGCCCTCATCCTAAATTACTCGTGGTCCTTCACCAAACCTAAGACAGCAATTTGACCAAGAGTGGAACGAGGTAACAAAGCACCAGGACTGAGGAGAATAAGATTTTTAATTTTTTTCGAAAGCTCAGGTAGATCTGGGTCACCAAGTTACCATTTTTGCTGGCCACTTGAAGATAAATCTTAAAAGGACCGTGACCTGTTAACACCGGGAAAAAATTTGCGTGAAGTTAAATGTTTGGATAAATGCTTCGTGATTTAGCGGTACCTTGTAAATGTAATCAAGTTAGAGAGCTGAGTCTGCTTGTTCCAGTCTTATCGAGAACCCTCTACAATCTTTGGATCACATTTCAGCATTGAAAACAAATTTTATTTGTCCTGTCTTGTCTCTTTTCATATCTTTACTTAAGCCGCACTAAAAACAAAGTTTGCAGAGGACCTTGCGCTGTGCTCTGAGACTAAACTCACACAATTATCCTTGAAAACTTTTGTTGTTGTTAATGGTTAACAAGAGTTTTCATGATATTCTGTTCCTGGGTGACCTTTCACGTAGTAAAAAAGAGACAAATTTATAACAAATGTAAGAAGCGAAACTTCCGGTTTCTATTCCTATAAAAGTTATAACGGATACCTGTTCGGATCTTGCACTAACCTAACTAGGGAAAAAACCGATGGTACGGTTGTTTACATGAAAGGAAGCGCTGAAATAATTAATCATCTCTAGACGCCACATCCATAGGAGTTGATCCCCTCAAATCACAAAGTTACATTGCGTTACATGTAGCGTGTAGAGTTCTCTTCTAATGTTTCCCGGCCCTAATTATTCAATCGGTATTCAGTTTTTACAGTGGTAAGAAAATGTATATTTCTCTTCTCTCTCTCCCCTCTCTCCCCCTCTCCCTCTCTCTCGATTGTCTGCATTTGAAAATTTTAGACCCACAGGAATCAAGGAAACCAAACCGTTTCTTAGAAAAGATTGCGAAACAAACTTATGCAAATCACGTGCGGTTTACGTACATGTACAAACCTCTCTCATTTTAATAAGAAATTAGACTTGTTTGAAAGTTATAACGAGAAAATGTTATATAGAAAGGCTGATTACATCGCTTCATATAAAAAAGGCTACCACATGAAAACAGATAGGCTTAATCCGGTTTTCACAATCACAAAGCCCTCGAGGAAAATTACGCAACAATTCTAAAAGAACGAGAATAAAAAGATTGAATGACGCATTTTTTTAACGGGGACAAAAATACGTAAACTAAGGATGCAACTCAATCACAGACCAATCGTTACACAAAGACAACTGAAATCTCTTGAAAATCGGTCGGCAATTGACTTGACACATTCAACGCAACACTAACCTTGCAAACCACAACGATGAAGAAATATAATTAATCCGTCTACGTAATCGTTGGGTTTCACTAACTATAAGCGAGGGGAACTAACCTGTGGACCGTCTGATCACTATGTGAAACTTCCTAACAAAGTTGTCACTACTAGATGTGAATTTGAACGCTATGGATTGTAAAACGTGCGTGAATTTATCTGTCGAACTCCAGCGATCACCGACTTAAAGAGACATAAGCCGGTCAAGAGAGAGTCGTAGTTTCGAACAAGGGTTATAGGCAACAACGTAAGAAAATTATGGTCAAAGCGTGCACATAGCATTGCAAGGTATGAGGAACACTTTTTACCTTTTTTGAATGACTGAAAACGTCGACACATTTCAAAGGAACCAGTTGATCATTCCATACCTTACGGAGACGTCTCCCAGTTCCTTATCCGGAACATAAATTGCGTGACGACTGGAATGAACTTTGTAAAAAAACACAGATAACGCCCACTACTGAGAGCGCTTTGGTTCAGCGATTACCAGAGTGGAGAGAGGTTGGGCGATGAAACGAGCGGTCGTCTCTCCGTACAACGTGTGATTCAGAGTATGACTGGCACGAGCGCTCTCTCCGCGCCTCCGGTGCGTTATGAAGTCAGCAAAATTTTTCTCTCGACCAACCAGAAATCTTTTTTTCTTTTCGTAAAGATTTTTCAATAATGCATCATGATTGAGCAAGTTTTTAAGAGGCTTGTCACGCTTCCCAATGAGTTCAAGTCTGCATTAATACATATCAATATTTCTTAGCGCAAGTGGCTAAAAACTTTACTCTAGTTTGGAGTTGTCAAATGTTTATTTTCGCCCCGAATAATGACCTTGTTGTCTTTTATCAGAAATGTCGACTGTTCCCAATTCTTCCTAACCCCAAATTTTACATATGTTAAAATGCGAGAAATTTTTCTCTAGCTCAGTAATAAAAAATTCAGCTGGAGACATCTGGAGATAACAGATTTCTATATCTTTAAACTTCGTAACTTTTGCTGAATCACCTCGCCATACATATGAACAAGTTCTTTTTAGGTCTCACGAACAAATATCTTCAATAACTAAAGACGAACTGAGGCTGAGGCATATACGCATCTATCTTTTCATGGAGAGTCATATAAAAGACAGTGAGTGGCAAAACTATATCAGTAAAGATACATGATACCAAGGTTTTCAAATTTAACATAATTTTATTTAGTAATTATACACGAGCTGAACGATCCGCAAAATGCAAGTCATCATTTAACGAGGTTCAACATTTGTTGTTGGCTATGCTCGTTAAATGATGACTTGTATTTTGCAGATCGTTCAACTCGTGTTCAACACTTGTCGTTGGCTATGCTCGATGTTCATGAACTATTTTAGTGGCTATTTGCGAGTATATTAGTTCTTACAGCCTATATGTCGAGGGAGATAGAGATAACAAATTATTAAAGCGACGAAAGAATCGGGGAAACCATTTCAAATACCCTCCTACTAACTAACAACACTAAAAAGAACAGAAACTAACTACTTGTCGGAGAAACCAAAACATTAAAGGAAATAGATTGCGATGACTAGGTAAAAATAACCGCTTTGGTTTCCTGAAAAAAATTGGTTTATAAATGAATTCTGTGGTGGCAGATGTGATATTTTAAAAATTGGTATACATCTAGAAACGCGGCCTAAAAACCATTTGTGATTTGATTAACATTCTTTAAAAAAGGTAGCGAAGAAAGCTAAAACGCAGGGTTTTCCCTAAAGCGCAAATGAGCGTCCGAGAGGCACTGTTTGGCTGAAAAATGGAAAAGGGACGCAAAACGGCAAGGAGAACGGGTCCTCTTGGACGCACATGGTTTAGGATGGTAGTTTACCACTGACCTAATTTAAACCTGATCGATAGATCTGCGAAAAATTCTTTTGGGAATAAAATTAGAATTTGGAATCTTTGTTCCGTTTTCTTAGTCCATCTTTCAACTCCCAAACCTGCCACATTCACCCCTTTGAATCGACTATTGCAGCGCCACCTTTTGTTTTTATCGTTCTCAAGCTTGCTCTTGCTATGAACTTCTCGCAGAGGCTTGGTAACTAATGCGCGATTGTGAAGCATTGTGGGGCACAAAGCAATATGGCAGCCCGCGAAAAAGAAAAGAGGCGTTTCTTGCCAGCTTGGATGGAAGAATTCAAGTGGTTAAAAGAAGAAAACGAAAAAATGTATTGTGATATCTAGGATGACAGGTAAGAAAAACCTTTTCACGACTGGCTGTAACAGTTATCAGAAGTCGGCCTGGAAAGGCACCAAAATTCGAAAGATAACTTTACGAGTATCAGTGACCTCAAGCTCAGAAAAAGCTTTCAAGTAACCGTTGCAAATGCAAATAAGAACATTGAGAATGAAAGACAGGAAATCACGAGAAGGCGCATTGTCCAGCTTAGAACGGTATATGTTATGACGAAGAACAACATTGCTGCTGATAACTTTATTCCAATAATGAAACTTCAGGCTGCTAATGGATGTAGTAATGCTTCTGTTTTTTAAAAGAAACCTAAAATTGTTTCGGAGATGGAATCTGTTTTGGCCAAATGTGTTGAAGATAACTTGATAAAAGAACTAAATGATTCTCGCACACCTCTTAATTGGACTGATGCTTGATGAAACATGTGACATTTCCACTGAAAAGAAATCAGCTATTTATGCCAGATATGTCAACTCAGAAACTGGCTCTGTTAACGCTTCACTTGTGGGAAACAAGAGAATAACTAACTGCACTGCTTCTGGCATTAAAGATGCCCTCTGTGAGTTTCTGAAAGACAAAGGCCTTGTGCAAGAGGATGACTACAGTCGGATTGTGGGACTTGGAACAGATGGGGCAGCTGTCATGACCGGACATCATGGACTTGGGGTAAAGTTGAAGCAGTTAAACAACAACCTTATTGAAGTTCACTGTGTTGCACACAGGCTTAATCTTGCTGCTTCTTAGGCAAGTAAGGACATTTATTATCTTAAATGGTTTAAAGGGCAGGTAAACAGCATCTATAAATTCTATTCCAATTTAAGTGTGCGATATGATAAACTGAAGGAAATTCAGCAGCTCATGCATGGAAAAGTTAAACAAGTGGTGGAACTTTCATCAGTTAGATGGCTGCCTGTAGAGGAATGTGTCAAGATAATATTTGAGTACTTCGACTCACTAGTTATATCGTTGGAGAATGAAAAGAGTTCTAATGCTACAGCTGTTGGAATTCGGCAGCTCGCAGCCTCGGCACAGTTCCTTCTAATCACAGCTTTGTTGATTGATGTTCTATCTGTTATTGGATTAGTCTTCTGTTTCAGAAGGATATTGCCAACTTGTCTGTCATTAAACAGTGTCACTTCAACTGTTGAGACAATTCCAGGGATGATTGATGGATCTCCCACTGTAAACAGAGTGTTGAGAGACCTAGGTGATGTTCCAGGCACAGGGAAGAATAGGTACAAGGGAGAGCACAGGGGCATTTTGTTGCGTATGTTCTGTAAATTTTAGTTTGATACGAGAGACCGCTGCTATGCGCCTGCGTCGGTTTCCCGCTTGAGAATCGCGTTAGAAAAGAAGCAGTAAAATACGTCGGAAAAAACAATGGTTCGAGTATTTGAGACAATCTTTCTTCTTATTTTTTCTTCTGTAACTTAGATGGAAGCGGTAAAGTCTTGAAATTATTGTGTGATGTGTGGAAGGAAGTTATTTAAAAAATGCAAAAGATTGTCCGAATCTTGGCTTGTGATTGTCTGGGCGATCGATGTAGATGTTATTTTTGAAGGATGCAACTAACCTGTCGAAGCGCACAAAAGAATTGAATAGTATACTTCTATCGTATCATTGCTATCTCAAGTTATCGGTGATCATTTGAAGTGCTTGCCTTCCTGTAAGCGTTTTTTAGAGCTTCAACCGTACTGCAAGTGCAGCGTACCTCCAATTTTGGCAAAAATTTAAAGTTTACAGAAGTTTATGTTTTGTTTCAAAAGTTTTTTTTGACATGAATCAAAACCGGCAGAGCCAATTACCAAAATAAAAAAGGTCAATGTCGAGTAAAGAAAAGAAAGTCAATGTTAGTGCTAGAGATATGGTAGCTCCATCTGGTTAGAAATGGAGGAATAATTATGGATTTTATCAGAGTAAGATAAAGTCTTTTCAATCATTAGTCTCAGAAATATCATCAGATATGATCAATGATGTTGGGAAATTGTGAATGAAAACAAGTACTAGTTTGGGCTTCCAGTTGTAAGATGAATAGTTAAATAAATCGATTATTACCCAGTAAAAATCACTTTCATTTATCATTTCAACTGCACAACAAAATCATATACACTCTTTGCAACCTTATTCTCCAACTTATTAAATTGTAAGAGTTGTGTGACAATTTGATGGTCTGAAAAGACTCTTATACATGCCAAACAACAGAGAACCAGTAAGGCTGATATTTAACAGTGAGGATAAAAACAAAATATTTCCAAAAGCCTTTTCTTTTCAGGAATAAGACTAAATGAGGTCAGATTAAACTAATGTGGAGAAGTTTGTTGATCTCTTTATGAAAATGGATGATTTACATTTATTAGATTTGAGAGAAATGAGACATGTCAAAAGGGGACTTTGACATTGCATATTCTGCAGTAGTGGGCATTGGCTTGGATGCCTATTTGCAGAAATTAATAGTTTTCAAGCCAGGGGTTTGGCTGTGTTAATTTTAAGGCAGAAAAATCATAAATCAGTCACTTAAGAAATTTTATAGCTCTGACTGGAAGCTCACACACTCTTAAGGAACAGGACAATATTTCACCTGATCACTCCTCATATTCTTTTCCCATGAAATTTAGACAAAACTTTCAAAAAAACTTTATTGGTAATTTTACAGTTGCAAAAAAGGTATAGACACAAGTTGCATGTCGCAGAGGCTAGTTAAGGCAAGTTGTGTGGAGAGAACAAAAGATCAATAATTTATACCAGTAGTAAGCTTCTGGTACTAATTACATTCTCTTGAATGCCAGCTTGCCACAGCAAATGTCACACCTATCCTTTCTGTCAATAGCACCAACCATATGTAGTGGGGTCTCTTCACATCTCCCTAAACAGCAGAGAACATAACAGTTAATTCCAATCATCAGTCTCAATTAAGAAATAAAAATTAAAGGATCAAGACTTATCCGGCAAAGTGAAATGCAAGTCGAACTGGTTTGAAGACATCTGAACCCGAAATTCGTTTTTAAATAAGACAGAAATACTATAGTTCACATTCTAAAGAAACAAGGAGTTCCAGCCCCTTGAGTAATTATCCATTTGTTGTATCGCTCATCTCATGTTTTAAGAACCAGAGAAAGTTAGATAATTTTGATCTGTGAGTTTTATAGTACACTTCGACTCAAAATTCATTTTGTATGGCAGAAGTATTCTACTGACATAAACAAGATAGAATGAGGCTGACGCCATCCGTTTCGAATAACACATGAACATGAAGAAAACGGCACCAGTTTAAACTCATGATACAAAGCCCACGCATTTTTTTGAGGTAAATGAACTGGTTAGACCGAAAGCTAAATAAATAAACAATGAACTGACAGTGGTGAGGGATTTGGGGGCCATGTGATAAAACAAGTTCTACCGAAGTTTATCCTCTAGTTAGCACTTCAAGCCTAAAAGGACAATCAGAAAAATTCTCACCAAAACACAGCAACAAAATAAGATAAAACCGGAGATGATCGAGGCAAGACTATAATCGTTGTTAAGACACATGCCTACATACCAAGTACAACAAACTTGGAGAGCAAAAAGGCCAAAGACAGTTGTGAGCCATGACTTGGGAAATCCCTCTCAACCTCCCAAAAACGAATTCGCCGAAGGTTGTAGAAAGAGCAACTCAATCCTGAAGCTGGAACATTTTTTTAAGCCTTGTATCCTATGGGACTACAAAGAGAAAGAAGAGAAGATGTTATTTGAAGTGATTTGAAGCTTGGGGGCCACCTCGAAGTTAACGTAGTTTTATTTCAAAGTTGAAGTAAAATAAGATCAAATTGTAAACTACCTTCTATTATCGTAACGAATTTCTCACGATCGCCTCCACACACCACTTCGTGATTCATAGAAGTAAGAAATCAACATCTTAAGACTAACCTTCAAGGTTTGTAGTCTCATGTGCGCATCTTGATCGTCAGCAAATCAAATCTCAAACTTCAAGTTTTCGGTCTATTTTCGCGTTTTGTTCGCACTTTGATCATTAAAATATCCTCATCCGAAGAGCCAGCAAACTCCACGAGTATCCACAGAGTTAGAAATGGTGGTAAAATTGTCATACTCTTTCATCCCTTTCCAAAAAGGATCACAGAAAGGTGTCGATCGCTCAGTTGAAAACCGGCAAAAGCGCGCTTAAAATATATCGAATTGGCGCCGAACGCGCCGAACAAACTTTCTTAGCGCATGCGCAACAAAATGCCCCTCTGCTACAAGGGAGTGGAAATTGCTGACAATAACAACCTCAGAACCAGGTTCAACTTAGTACGAAGGAGATACCTGAACCGGCTTATCAACAACCTACACGACAGGTTCCCAGAAGATGACTTAGAGCTTCTGGAGTGTTTTGACGTCATCTACAACCCTAGAAGACTGCCTGATGATGTAAGGAAGTTAGGAAACCATGGCATCCAACAACTCAACAAACTCTATCATCACTTCGAAACTGTTCTTGAATATGATAGGTGTAAAAACCAATTTCTTCAGTTCAAGCATCTAGTACGCAGTTACAGAGCTATGGACTTTAAACAGTTCACAAGCACTCTCATCCACGAGTATAAACATGTTTACCCTGATTTTGTGCAACTAGCTTTGATCAGTCTTGTAATCCCAGTATCAAGTGCTCCTTGTGAGCGAGGTTTTTCTGTCCAAAATTCAATTAAAACAAAGCTGAGAAACAGAGTTAATCCTGAACGGCTGAATCGAATGATGATGGTAAGACTAGTTGGACCCCACTTTGAAGATGTTGATTTTCTAACTGCAGCAAAAGCATTTAGCGCTATGAAAACTAGGCAAAAGTGAAAAGTTTTGAAGTTACCAAATTGTTTCCTGAACCTTGCACCCTGTTTTGGCAAGAGATGCTACTGGTAAGGCTAAAGAGGCTACTACACCAATTTTAACTTATTTTTAGTATCTTAGTAGCATACAATTTTTTTGAGTTAGCAGAATTTTCTATTGTAGCTTATATCTTTCTGTCCGAGTGTATGAATCAGTGAGAAATATCTTTAGTACTTTGTTCCTTTTTTAATGAGAAAACATAACAGAAACTGATTGAATAAAAGATATGTTTAGTTATTCTTGGTTGCCTCTATATTACCGTACAGTATAAAATTAATAACCTGCTAAAAGATTAGATTATTCTCCTGGAATTTAAAACTATACCAATCATAGGACCCCCACTTGTTTCTTCCGGACCCTAAACCTTAGGTTGAAGGAGTCCAAGGGAGTCACAGGGAAAAATTGTAGGGATAACCCTGAAAACGTGCGGTATTTGTTTACAAATAAATTTACCAATGTAACGTTCATTCAGTTAATGTCTGAATCCTCCTAAACAATTTGTTATTTGCAAAACGTTGCGCAAAGTTATGAATTCTACTGCAAATACACTGGCCAAACAATTCTTCCAGCTCATTCAAAATTGCCGAACTCGCCGCTATTTTCAGAAAAAGCCAATGTTTGTCTGAAGTCGGTCCCAGTCGACTGCATCACACCTTTTTCCTCGGACCCCCTAGTTTCATTGCCCAACCTCTCTCCGCCCTGGTATGAAGGAAAAAGTGCCGTGGTAATAGAAACGAACGGAAATTCATCAAATTTCAATGTGGGGGAATGAAAAAGTATTTTGGGGAGAAAGGCATTCAGTTAAGTGATGGCGGCAGAGGAAAGAAAAAAGCAGACCCTTTCCATTTTTGTAAGAGAGCTGCGGCAATGAAACAGATCAAACTAACTTCATCGTTCGGGGCTTGGTGTAATGAGCAGAAAAATTCATGAGTAAGTGCGAAGAATTAAGGAAAAGGCTTCGGCGTGTATTTCTCGTATTTTTACTTCTTATCTCTTAATTTTCCCCTTAAAACGGCAGTTTACTTTCGTCATTTCACTGATCATCTATCAATAATGAAATGAGGCTGAAGGGTTCTCGACACAAATGATCAGGACTGCAGCAAAAGAAGTTGACACATATCAGCATAGCCTGGCAAACAAGTTACCATTGATGCCTTTTATACAGCGTCACTAGCCTCCTTGCTTTCGCTCGAAAGCAAGTGTGGATCAAATCCATGTAACTAGTCACGTAATAGTTTCGTAAAAGCAAGACTTAAGTTAAAGCGGACGATAACAAAAGAGATATGCTTCGATGACAATACAGTTATCTCAATATGTATTCAAATAAAGACATCTCATGCCTCTTGGCGATTTTGCAAAGTATTGAAATTAACATATTTTCTTGTCTGTTTTAGCGAACGAGAATTCGTATTGTTTTCGGCACGGGAAACTGAACTACAGTTACTATACTCGATAATTTTCAACTTCCCTTACATTTCCGTCTAAAAACTTTGAATATAACACATGACAACGTCACAACTGTTTTTTTTGTGCTACCTTAGATAATTCAATTCTATTACTAGTTATATTTGATAGCTTGCGGACGCAACTGTCTGGCAATAGTGGTTCTTGAGGAGTCTTGCTCTCTTTTCACTTCACAAATCCCCTAAAAGTAGCAAAAGAAAACACATGTAATAAGATACATTCCATATATCTAACTGGAAACATTTCTGTGTATACTCAGTCTTTGTAGTGGTAACTGAAATCTTTACACATCCGGTTTTAAATCTCACTTCACGTGAAAATGTCACAGGGCTGCAAAATTCGCCAAGCTGTGAAACACACTTAAAAGCATGCAAAAAATGTCATTTCATTCATGAAGTGTATTTGTATGCTTTCAAGTAGTTCTTAATACCCAGATGTGAAAGATATGAAAGGCTCGGACTCATGCATGTGCTTTAGATCCTCGACCGTCATTCGTGATGTACGCGAACAAACCCGAATTTCAAACCGAGGTTTCCTAAGGACTGCCGGAGTGAGTAAACCTAAGTTGTAAAAATGTTGGGTTTCAAATTGGTGGGAATGTTTCTCAAGGAGACAAATATACCCCATGTTGCTGTGCGTCTGTTCAGTAAAAGGTCACAGATGATATCAAACTTTGAAAAAAATAAAACTGGTACATGAAGCGCAATGTTCTTATCACATTTTGATGCGTTCTATGATCTACGACTACACAGACGCTCAAAAACATGGAATCTATATGTTTTATACATAGTAAAGAGGTTACCTTGTTGGTGGTGACCTCATCTATGGTCTATCTTTCCACTGATTATGAATACAACCATCAGAATATGTCTATATATATCAGCTTATTACAGAAATACTGTATAGAAAGAAGTCGTGTCTGGTAAAAATTTTCAGTCTGCATTATTTCACACCTGGCTTAATCAAATATTTCATCTTCAAAGGCTTCCATGGAATTGAAATTTTCTTCCAACTGTTGAAGCTCCTGCCTGAGATCTTCCTCTCTAGTTATTTTCTGAAGCTGTTAGAAAAGCAGTACAAGAACATTTGTAGCAGCTACATAAAGCTTAGCGTTCAAGGTCTATAAGGGCTATTCATAATGAAAGAGAACATTAACAGCTTGGCCAAACTGGAACAATGTTCCGGTGTCACAGTGATATGATCATCCTTGTAATATGTAGAATCTCCCCTCCCCCCAAAAAAAGCCCCTGTAATACGAGTATACCCGGCGGGTATACACTAACGCTGCATAGTTAACAGACAAAATAGCGAAAGATTTACGTTGCGTTTTAAAATAGAGAAATAGATAAGGGATCAATTTCTCATAGAAGCACACTTCGTATGAACAGCATAGTTCTAACGAAGAAATGCACATGTAACTGATGCCGGTCTGAGTGATTCGTGAATCGGAAGCCAATCAGTCTAAAAAAGGAATGAAGTCACTCGTATGATCCTTGCTCGAAAACTCTGTCAGACAAGAGAGAAATTTAAGCCTTTGAAACTTTGACCGTTTTAATTATGAAAACATGACCAAATGCACTTTCCAAAGATAAAAAGGATAATAAAATAGTTTAAATGATAGATAGATAGATTCCTAGAAATAATGTCTAATGGGGGAAAGTCACCGAATGAAGAGGAAAAACTAACATTTAAAGAAAATTCGATAGCTGAGCATATAACTCTTAGGGTCAGGGTGTATTTAGTTTCTTGAAGGGTCCGACCAAGTCTCCTTGTCGTGTGCAACAAAAAATAGTTTATAATATATGCTAGAACAGACATGTGGTAAAAAAGGTGACAGCCATACGAAAGGCGGGCCAACGAAATAACGTAAAAATTTCATAGATTAACTCTGTCTACAGTAAGTTTTTTAAATAACCAAACTAAAAGTCGGAAACATTTGATCACCGACAGTCACTGACTAATAGTAAATGATAAAACTTCATAACAATCAATGATGAATATACAATAATGAGGATCAAATGCTAGTCTAACTCGTGATAAAGATCAAATGAGTTACCTGATTTTCCTCTAGTTTTTCACCTCTGTCTCTCTTCGCCTGCAAAACTTTGATATCAGCCAGTATCTTCAAAATTTTTCTTCTCTTAAGAGTGTACTCTTCGGGGGCCATAAAAACAAATTTGCGTGAACCGGACTGGAAATTATCCCCAAAGACTAGTTCATTAAATTCCACGGACTTTTGATCATGATCTTCTTTGGTGTACTTCACATCAAAAGCGGTTGGTTGTGGCCAGCTAAAGCCCAAGTAAAATGAAACTTCTTCCTTGGAAAATCCTCCTTCGCGAAAGGAAGAATAATAGATGTCGATAGTTTGATTCGCATCGAGAGGATTTTTCATTTTTATGATGTTTCTACTTTCTACAACCCCCGTGAGACGTTCGAGTCTTTGTTTTGTTCTTTCATCTTCCCAAGCTGGTGTTCCTTTCGTACCTTGCGACAAAGGGAGTTCATTTATATGAACGAAAACATCTAGGCCCTTCCCTTTTCCTAGAAAGAAAAGAGTAGTGTACTGCCTTGTCTCCTTCTTAAACGACATACGCTTGTACATCTTCTTCATTGACGACTTGTCCGTGTCAACATGCCTTTTACATTTACTGTTCCATCTCACCTTCAGCTTTTGCAATGCCTCATAGAAATCTTTCAAATGATAATCACTCAGTTCAAATTCTTTACGTGGCCAGAGAAACATAACCCTAAATAGATGTGCATATATTTTCTTGTTTCCTTCGCATTCTTCTAGTGCAAGCAACTGATCAACAACTTTGAATACATCTATATATTCCTTAATCAGTTGGTTTCGATTTGATTTCTTTTTCTGTCTATCTCCATATGGGGAGTGTAATGCCATATTTGTCGTAATTAACAGCAGCAAATCTTTGTACTGGATCCCGTCTTCTAGCTCCTCGCAATAATTATCTCCAGCCAGTGTTCTCAGACTTGTAAGTTTCTCATGAGCTTTAGAATGGTCAATTTTAAACACAGACCAAAAAATATCCCCAACAAGAATCTGATTTATCTTCTGCCACCTGTACTCCCACCGCTCTCGTGCATTTTCAGGGTGCACGTCCAAATTATCATCACCGAAGTAAATGAGGTATTGAGCCTTAAACCGAGCAATTTGGCATGGTAAAAGCTTTACTTGTACGCTATTTCCCTTATAGATGGTTACCTCTTCGGTGAGAGCTTCCATGCATCGATTGCAAGCATTTCTCAATCCGTTAATGGGCTCGTGAAACTTGCTCCAAAGCTCTTCAACCTCAGGTGGTATGACTTGACTTACAGACAGGTATGCCTGTAACTTTGTCCAGCCCACTTGGCCAAGAAACAAAGTTGTACAACGAAGGATATTTAGTAGATAGAATATCATGGAAATTTCACCTTGGAAACCAAAGGGATTCTGGTTGTCTCCCGACGTCCCTATTGATTTTTGAAACCATTTCATTGCCTCAAAAGCAAGTTCCATGGCTAATATGGCAGACTGTTGGTTTATTGTGCGGATTCCCTCACGGAAGGACCCATATAAGACCTTCATTTTACTTTCATAAATGCGGCCCATTGTATCAAAGAAAAACGTATTATTCGGACTCATTTCGATTGCTTGGTTGCAAAAGGTGACAGCCATACGGAAACACTCCTCGATTCCTTTATCGACGAAACATTTAGCATTAACGTAACAAAGTCTAGCCATTTGTTGGGCGAGCGTAGCGTCTTGAAACTTCTCTAATCCCGCCTTAAGCACTTCAACCGCTTCAAGCACCTTCGTTTCCGTTGTTTCTCTTTCTCCAGAGTAACTTTCTCCGTACAAAATCTCCTCTACTAATGGTGAAAATTTAGTTTGTTCGTCATCTCCATATTCGTACTTCCTACGATGCTTGAGCATTCTGTTTGCCTCGTCACATAGAAAAACTGAAGTGAACGACTTTGCTTCTCTTTGTAACAAGTCGGAATTCAAAAATTCCAGTGTAACTTGACTGACAGATTTTCGTTCCCTTGCTATTATCTGGCCAAGAAGCTCACGAGCAATGTTTCGATGGACTATAGCAATGGCCCTTCCTGTGCCGTAATGCGAAGTAAAATCAAAATCTTTCAGGAAAATTCGTGCTGAATCGCTGAGATATTCCACCCAATCTCTGAATTCTCTCTTAAGGAATAGGCTAGAGGGCAACATCTTCTCATCAAAGCTTGCCGTGAATACTGGGAACAGGTTGTATAGGTTTAGAAGAGATATAAACTTCAGCATTGAAAGTTCATTAGTAGTCACAAGATCTAGATTTCCACTTACGACGCTAGAGACGTATGCCTCGTTATAGTTCTCCTTCATTATCATGAAAGAAATGAGATTGTCGTTGGCAAAATCGTCGAATTCCGGTACTGGGTCATTCTCATCAGCTTTTCGTTTCATTTCTGTATATTTGTCTTTGAACCATTCTACTTCTTCCTTGCTAAGTCGCTGTTCTAGGTAGACACTTGTTTCTTTTTCTTTTTCATAACATTCATAAGGTTTTTGCGTAGTCTTGCAATACAGGAACACACAAACGGGTAAATTTGTCCTACGTACTTTACTAGCCTGCTCTACGACCTGCGATCGTAACTCTTGAAACAAAATGTCATCTGTATCCTCCACTAATGCTATAACCGGTGGGAAAGGCACCCCACTTTCTTCCCGATAGCCAATTTTCCGGAGTTGCAATAGCTCCTTAGAAGTATTGTCGTCAGCCCTTGTAACCACCGCACATCGGAAAGGAAACTTTGGATTACAACGGAAATCCCAGAGGGCTTGACGTGCCATAGTACTTGCTCCAGCACCTATTTCATGATATATGGTGATTGTTTGAACCCTTCCTTCACTTTTACGAGAGTAAATTTTTTCCAGCAAGTCCTTTAGCTGAGTGTAATTATCCCGTCGAAGAACGTGATTGCTTCGATTATCAGTAAACCAAAAATTATTCCATGTTACTGGATATCCTCTGTAAAAATGTGTCTCTACTTCTGAAGAAAGCTTTGAACGTTCCGCAGAACTTAAATTATTTAATTCTTCACATTCCTTGGCACTAACAATGTCAAGACAATTAAAAGAAACCTTGCCCACGGGATAGAAACTTCCACTTGTCATAATAACACAACGCTGTTCTTTGTCGGGTCCCAAAACCATTTGCAGGACACACTCTTGAAATTCAGGCCAAGACATTCCAACGATACCTCTTTCCTGAAGCTCATTCTCTTCTAAGCAAGTACATGAGAGGATATCTTCCCAGCTTCTCACAATCTCAGAAGTTTCTGCAACATAAACTAATTGATTTGGACCACCAAAACAAGTGCAGAAGTCTTTGAAAGTATCTGCCATCGCCCGATAGTCTTCTGATAGAAGCAAGAACAGCACCACTGCCCTAATGTCTGGAATCCTCTTAGAAAGAGATTGTATCACTTGAAGTAAACCTTTTTTACGCTTAGAATTATTCCATTGCTTAAAACTGAGGGCTTCCTTTTCCAGCTTAAGGTAGCCATTTCCAAATATCCAATGTGTCTTGTAGTATATGTCATCGACTGTATTTTCATCTCCATCATAATCCTCTGCTTCGTGTATGTCGACCAGGGAGGAATCAGCAACAGATTTGAAAACTTGACATAGACCATTACTATCTGAACCTTTATCGTCGAAATCGATAACAGTGAGCCACTTTATTTTTTGAATAAAACAAAAGGTTTCTTTAAGAACGGTTTGACTCATATCAGCATGTGGCTTGCTTACAACCAAAATCGGGTAAACTGAGGAGTCGAGGAAGTTTTTGTTTGCGCATAGAAGTCTCTGAAATTTGAAAGACAGCTGTTGGATGGATTCTTCATTTTCTGGGGACTGTCTCTGTTGTGCGACTTTCTCACGATACTTTCTTTCATCAACTAACTTGGGCAGGCGGTCTTTCATGAATTCTTCCATTTTGTTTGCATCATCAATTGCCACAGTGTGCGATCCAGATCTAATATATGCTGTAGCTTCACGGTCCTTTTTACCACGGTCTAGGCCTTTTAGACACACTTTGAAAATATCATCTCTACAAAGGGAATAAGAAGGCTCAACGTCGACCTCGATAACCACTGTGTTGATTAAATCTTCACCGCTAAGGGAGCTTCTTACGGGTATAAACACAGCAGGCCGAATACAATTCGGGACAATTCTTCCGCTGCGTCCAACAAAACACTTGCCAATGTACTCAGTCAGTTTTTCATTGTAAAGAGGCACCTCGGTGACTTGAGAGCCAACAATTTCCCTGGGTTCGTGCCCACAAGTTTGGTTTTGGTTTTCGTCAGCCACTCCAAAGTGTATTGTTCCATTAGTTCTTTCGTTAAGACAGGCGCATGCAAACCTCAAGGTATCGTAAACAAATTTTTTAACCATATCGTTAACGCTAGGGTTGACATCTGTTCGGAATATTTTACACTCGTGGATGGGTGTAATCATATCTTTTGTCCCAGTCTCCCAACGACTAAAAGTTCGACCTTGGACGTAAGGTTTTACGTCATGGTCCACACCAAAAGGTCGCAGAATTTGATAACGCATCGGATCGCGAGTTGGTCCTTGATCTCTACTTTTAGGGGGATTTATGGTAACCTTACGAAGGTCACCGGTTCTGTTCTTCAGTGAATTAAAATAGTCACTCCACTCGAAGGTTTGACTTGGGTCGCTGACATCAAATGCCGCATGATAATTTCCCTCTCGTTCCATTTTGATGTTATAATATTTCTCTTTTTTTCGGTCAAACGAAAATCTGCATATAAATGCTTGATTGGGCTTGGGTTCCAACTGCTTGTCAATCAGTATAACAAAAGACTTCTCCTTGAGTTCCCTAGGCGTGAGCCTGTCGAGAAAGATCTGAGTTACGGATCCATCGCGCAGTGAAATCTTCATGTTGTTCCCACTGTGTACTAACTCTTTGGATGCTTCGTTCCACAAAAATTTCTTAGAATCTTCACTTGATAACAGTTTCACCCACGCCACTGAATTTCGTATAATTTGCTTCCATAGTATTCTGGCTTGGTCATCTTTTAACTCTTCTTTTGTCATTACTATAAATATAAATAATTGCTCCAGGGAATTTGAACCCTTACCACGCTTAAAGAAAATTGATCTGAGTTGACATATCGTTCTTTCCTCAGAATCTCTTGAATTTTCTATGTCTAGTTTCAGTGCCATTTTAAGAAATGAAAGCGGTGTCTCTTCTTCCTTGGAGGACGCTGGTTTAGTTAGAACATCTGGTGATGTTTTGGTCAAAGGATCCTCTGAAGCCAGTAGCTCTTTAGACTCATTCAAATGTCTCAACGCTAATGAGGAGCAAGGTTTATCTGCAGAGTCTGTTCCACTGTTTCCTTCATTAATTGATTTATTTGGCGCATCTGATACCGTTTCCGTCATACGATCTTCTGAGGTCTGTGGCTTTTTAGGCTCATTCAAATCTTCCATCGTTGATGAGTAGCAAGGTTTACCTGCAGAGTCTGTTCCACTGTTTTCTTTATTTGCTGATATATTTGGCGGCTCTGATACTGTTTTGGTTATTGGATCTCCAAGGGCCAGTGGCTTTTTAGGCTCATCCTGCATCGGGAGGAGAGATTCATTTGGTGATTCTCTTTCTCTGTTGTCTTCATCTAGCAGTGACAACTCATGCTCGAGAACAATCCACGGGCCAACTTTTAGTTTCATGCAATTCCTCAGCTCATTCCTCATTAACAAAAAGGCGGGCCCATCAATTTCCTCTTCCTCTGCTTCTCTCAAACACTCTTCTGGTATTCCAAGTTCCCTGAGCCAACTACAAAGCTCCTCGCAAGTCCATCTGTTCATCTCCTCTACAGACGTGCGGGCTTCCTTGGATTTCTCCCTCTCAAATTTCTCTAAATGCTCTTTAAGACGGTTCATAAGGACCCTCTCGGGTCCTTTCTTCAAGTTAAGAACCGAACGTAGATACCCAGGATCTTTGGAGGCTAGTAACAATAACGCACGTCCACTAATGTCTTCATTTCTACAGATTTCAGCATACTTGACGTACGCCTGACGATCACTACAGAGCCACGCAGCTGTTCTTTGTGGGTTCCAGGCTTCCATCGGTAGTTTTCCTGTAGGAAATGCTGAGATTCATAAAGAATGAAAGGGGTATGAAAATGAACACGAGCTCATTTCAAGTAAAATGTTCGTATAAGTTACAGCCGATTTCCAAGCAGCATTTTTATTTTTTTAGCGATAGCGTTCAAGGTACTCACTTCTTCGGACCAGCAAAAGTTAACACCTTATTCCTTGGATTTCATGTTTCTCCCTAAATCCCAACACCGACGAATACATATAACAAAACTTCGCTTCAGTGAAACACTGATTAAGAAGATTTTTTTCTTTTACGAATACTACTTTTAGTATTCACATGTTAATCACCTTCTTCCTCTGAAGCTTGACAATCTCTTTCCCCTCCAACAGCTCCTTCAGGTTGTTCCAGTTCTTTCTTTGGGTCAACTGCAGTTTTAAATCAATAAACATTGCACCCTATCAATGATAATGGCTCCCTTTATTCGTCAACTTGTATATTAAGCCCCTGTTGACTCCCAGGTCTAAATTGTGTTTATTCACGCCCTACCATTTATAACAGTATCAACAAAAACTTCCCTCCCAGTGCCTGAGCTTTCAGCAACCCGCCTTCTCATATGGCGGTCTTTGTGCTGTGAGCAGATGCTAGCCTTGGAGTTAAGCCCACTCCATTTATGGTGGCCATGCCGGCTTGAAGGCTAACAATGCGTAACTCAAGCGAAAACCTAGCACGCAGGTATTTGAGACGCATGGTGTATGGAATCCATTTGCTTGATAAATAAAAGGTTTAATTACTAAAATAAGAGGATAGTAAGCCTCAGCTAGGGCACCTATGTCGTGATCATTTCTAAAGCTTAACATTACCGAATGCTATGGTTTCGACTGTTTTAAGCTTGAGATAATAAATACACCCATGACAAACACAATGAATGATTCTCGATCACATCTTGTTGGAAACTGTACGATACATAAATGAATTTAAATTTGATTGACATTTATAAGTGATTGACATTTATAAGTGATTAAGGCAAAGGCAAACAAGCATGTATGCGGCACGTGTTTTATCGCCCCATATACGGCACTGTTCCACGTGCTTAGAACGGGACGTTGAGTGCGTATTTCTTTCAAATAAGCCGAGAGTTGTGAGTGAGAGTTAACCAAAGCATTGTAGTAAAATCGTCAAATCAAGTGAATAAATCATGAGTTAATGAGGAAGCGTGCTATAGCTTTGCCACGTTTTCGTCAGTGGCGACCCTGCCAGAACAACGTTGAAAATCATGAACAAACAAATTGCTGAACTTAAGGGCAAGTTGAAGGCGTTGAATTTTCGTTTGAAGAAAGGAGATGTCTAAAAGAAAGATGATCGAACGGTTTTGAGAGACACAAAGTTTCCGTTGAGGGCCTAGAGACTGCAGTAGTCAAGTTAAAGGAATCCATTGAGGAGCAGAAGTTTGCGAACGGCGAGGACGATGAGGCAATACAAGAATGGGCCGACGAAATCAAACAAGTTGTTAACGAAGGAGATGCCTGTATACGAGAATTGACAGAACAAATTGAACAAATCGATCGTAATCTAAAACCCGCAACCGCGCTCTATGGGCACAAAAGAGAAGTCGAGCTAGAGAAGAGGAAATGGTGAAAAGAAGAAGCTATTAATTGAGCACATGCGGAGGAATTGGCATTTGATAAGAAGAAGTTGGAGTTGAAACAAGCTCAAACGGAACCGCCAGAAACTGTGCACGTACAAATGGCTAGCAACGTAATGAGAATGCCCAAGCTCGTGATCACAAAATTTGATAGAACACCGCAAGATTGGCTGCGTTTTAGGGGACAGTTCGAAAGTCAAATTGATGAATCCAGTGCCCCTAAAGTCACAAAGTTCTCCTATTTGAAAGAATTAGTGAATTCGAAGATGCGAAATCTCATGGATGGTCTTCCGTTTACGCCTGAAGGTTACCAAAGGGCTTAAGATTTACTTGCAAGAAGATATGGGAAAGCGAGTGAAGTTGTGGGAACTTACGTTAGAAATACTTTGAAGCTGCCCACCGTGCGCGAGAGAAATGTAAAGAAGATACATGAATTTTATGAAGCATTACTGTTCAACGTAGAGTCACTGCGAACATTAAAAAACTTATCCAAATTGGACGCCGCGGTTTCGAAAAGCTTGATGTGATAAAGAACGAACTTGCTATAATAGATGAAAATTGGTGCGAATGGATTTTTGTGGAATTCTTAGAGGCGCATTTCAAACGAACCGAAATCAAAGAGCTAAAAATTTTCGTCGAGATCAGTCCAAAGCATTTCTTGCCAAACACCAAGAAACCAGAAACCGGTCGAGGGTGAGCCCGTGGGCGTGTCTTTAATGTTGTAGCGAACAACATAAGGCAATTAACTGTGATAACGTCCAAAGCATTGAAGAAAGGAAGAAAATACTTGCCGATAGGCGCTTGCGCTTCAACTGTACAGGAGCCAAACACCGAGCCAGCAATTGTAAGAGCAGAAATACGTGGAGAATTTGCAATGGAAAGCACCACGCTGCGATATGTGACTAGAAGGAAAGACGAGAACCCGGTACGACTGCAAATTTACTTGGCGATTCCATTGTTATTCATCCCGTAGTAGTCATAAACATGAGCAGATATAAATTCAGAGCTCTGCTGGACGGTGGCGCCAGCCATTCATATGTTTCGTCAACCGCGATTGATTTAATTAGAGCTAAAGTGAAGAGTGCGAGTTTGCACTAAATCACCATGCACACAGGCGTTGAAACCAGAACTATGCAAATCTTCGAAGTTGTCATGCGTTCTGGGGCCGGATATTTCACACTTAACGTAAATGTTACGAAAATAAAAAAAAAGGGAACTTTTGACCTTAGACAACCCAAGGTATTCCGATCTCTTAAACAATCACCGTCACCTGAGAGGCGTTACAAGGGAAGATAGTGATACAAAAGCTCATTCAATCAGCGGTTAGCGGTTAGAGCGGTTAGCGGTTAGAGCGGTTAGCGGTTAGAGCGGTTAGCGGTTAGAGCGGTTAGCGGTTAGAGCGGTTAGCGGTTAGAGCGGTTAGCGGTTAGAGCGGTTAGCGGTTAGAGCGGTTAGCGGTTAGAGCGGTTAGCGGTTAGAGCGGTTAGCGGTTAGAGCGGTTAGCGGTTAGAGCGGTTAGCGGTTAGAGCGGTTAGCGGTTAGAGCGGTTAGCGGTTAGAGCGGTTAGCGGTTAGAGCGGTTAGCGGTTAGAGCGGTTAGCGGTTAGAGCGGTTAGCGGTTAGAGCGGTTAGCGGTTAGAGCGGTTAGCGGTTAGAGCGGTTAGCGGTTAGAGCGGTTAGCGGTTAGAGCGGTTAGCGGTTAGAGCGGTTAGCGGTTAGAGCGGTTAGCGGTTAGAGCGGTTAGCGGTTAGAGCGGTTAGCGGTTAGAGCGGTTAGCGGTTAGAGCGGTTAGCGGTTAGAGCGGTTAGCGGTTAGAGCGGTTAGCGGTTAGAGCGGTTAGCGGTTAGAGCGGTTAGCGGTTAGAGCGGTTAGCGGTTAGCGGTTAGCGAACAAGATGGCTGCTTATTTCTTCGCTCTTGAGGAAATTGTAGTCAATTTGAGTATAGTGCTCTGTAGCGTGTGATATATTGTATCTGTTTAATATTGTGAGTATCTACCAGTATGCCGGCTATTAATTGCGACCAATTTACCAAAATTTTAGACGAGAAACTCAATCCACTTAACTCGACAATTTCTGAGTTAAAAAAATCAGTTAAAGAAGCGATGAGTTTTCTCGAAGTTGTGAATGCGAAGTATGAAGAATTGCTAGAGATGATGAAGAGCTCAAAGGAGGAAAGAAAGGCTTTAAAAGATGAGAATAAGCTTTTGCACGATGAGAAAAAGATCTTTAAGGCAACAATTCGCAGCATTGAAAGTTCACTGGAATCAGTTAAGAGAGCGAACAATGATCTGGAGCAGTACACTCGCAGAGAGTGTGTAGAAATCCGAGGAATCCCTGTTGCTGCTATTCCATGAGAAGAGCAAACTAATAATATTGTGACGAATGTCGGTAAACTACTGGGAATGGATATTACTCAAAATGACATTTCAGTAAGCCATCGAATGCCTCAAAGTCAAAAACACAAAGGCAAGCCTGGACCGCCAGCTATTATCGTCAAATTTACTAGGCGTGATGTCAAAGATAATTTCTACCGTGCAAGGAAGCAGCTCAAGGACTTAACAACGCGAGATCTTGGATATTCCGAGAAAAATAAGATCTATCTTGCAGAGAGCCTGACAGAAAGGAATCGAATATTATTCAAAGATTGTTTGAAGGTAAAGAAGGATATGGAGTTCAAGTTCATTTGGACTTTTAATGGAAAAATCGTCACGAGAAAAGACATAGACTTTGTTGTTCACCGTATTAATAACAAAAAGGATCTTCAGAAGATACAAACTAGATAAGTATTTATTTTCTGATCTTTTACGATTTGATGAATTGTTTAAAATGTGTAACTGACACTAGTGATATGGCCTGTGACTTGGCCAATTCACTTCCATCTTTAAGTATCAATTCTCCTAGTAACATCCCACACCTCACTGATTTAGATGCTGACCTAAACATGCCTTTGGAAAACAATTTTTGTTTCTATAGTACTAATGATTTTCATAGTAATTATGACACCAACGAGTGTCTATTGAGTGGTCAATCTTTTTCTTTGATTAATTGTAATATTAGGAGCCTATCAGCTAATTATGATAAATTGTCAAACATGTTATCAGAGCTATATTTTCCTTTCTCATTGATTGGTCTTACTGAAATCAAACGAAAATTGATCAGACTCCTATGTCTAACACTGATTTATGTGGATATCAGTATCTCTCCCAGCCAAGCCTTTCCAATGCTGGGGGAGTTGCTTTCTACATAAAAAACAACTTAAATTTTAACATAAGACCTGAATTTACAATAACTGCTGATGATTTTGAAGCCTTATGGATTGAGGTACATAATAATTGTCATTCAAACTTACTCTGTGGAATAATTTATAGGCATCCAAATGGTGACTTAGAAAGATTTATTGAATATGTGAGCTCCACAGCTGATAGAATTAATCAAGAAAACAAAACTTGTATAATCATGGGAGACTTTAACATAGATCTTTTGAAATTTGAATCACACTCAGCAACTGATGGTTTCCTTAACACTCTGGGTTCTAATTTTTTTCAGCCCTATATAATGCAACCAACAAGAATCACAAATCATTCAGCAACTTTAATTGATAATATTTTTTTCAATTCAATTGAGCATTTTACAATCAGTGGTAATATAGTGTATGATCTCTCTGATCACCTTCCCAATTTCCTAATTTTTAATAAATTTTCATCACTTCCTAGCAATGTTAAAATATTCAAAAGAGATTATTCTAAATTTGATCAGCAGGCTTTCATTAGTGAGATTCAACTA